GTGGAATGAATTAAGTTCGTGAACCGAGGTACCACTGTAATCTCCTTTTCCATACAATATTTCTTCACGCTAAAAGTGAAAGTATAAAAGAATCACAGAATTAGAAGGGATCTCTGCATGCTGCAATTTATACATTTTGCAATTTGCCATAGAATTCCTCAATGTCGACCACGTGCACTATATACTCATACAGTTATATGTATAATATTGACGTTTGCTAGATATCCACTAATGGATATGATCCTGTCATTTATTAGATTATAGGGAAGTACATATCAACTTCATAATCTATTACTTTATAATTGATTTATATCTACATGAGCCATTACATAATAGGTAAATACATATCTATTACATAATCACAAGAGTCCTTTGGGATTACAGCAGTCTATACAGGTGGCCTTTGGTTAACGACCACTCGTTCAACAACTGTTCAAACTTAGGATGGTGCTGAACAAGTGGTACTTACAACTGGTCCTTTATAATATAAAGTTCTGGCTGTTGCATCACGTGATCACAATTTGCGAACTTCCCTATTGACTTCCCACAAGCAAAGTCAATGGGGAAGCCAGCAGGAAGTCAGAAGTTGCAGTCATGTGAAGTCTTCGCTTAATAACCCACAGTGATTCGCTTAATAACGGTAACCACAGACTGCCGGAACTGCCGTTGCTAAGTGGTGTGGTCATGTGATGTTGCACTTTACGACTGCATTGCTTAGCAATGGAAATTATGATCCCAATTACCATTGTTAAGCAAGGACTAACAGTACCTGTGATAAATAAATAAATATCTAGAATATATTGACATTCCATTCCTTTGTAGCTCCTGAACAGTAATAATCTGATTCAAAGCCCCCCATTCTGTTTCACCTATGCTCACTTATTCCTAAAACATCTAATATCCACTTCTGTGTTGACAATTTCAAGTTTTCCTTGGTTCATGATTCTTACGTTCCATGTTCAAATTCTATCTGTACTTGTAAAATGAGGAATTCCTCTTTCAATACTGGCACCATTAGTAACAAAACTTTCTTGTAGCTTTGGTCTGACGGTATCATCATGATCATCTCTCTATCTACTAAAGAAAATCTGACCTTCTTCCCCAGGAAGTATGAGTGTGTTACCCACTGGGGTGTGTGCGTATTTCATCACCCCAATTCATTTAAATGTTACAGCCATGTCCATACAGTTTTCTTGGTAACAACACCAAAGTAGTTTTCCATTGCCTTTTGAGAGGTTTGATTTTGGAATTTCCTCTTTTAGGTGTTGGCTTCCTTCACACCCACAGAGCCCCACCAGCCCTCACCTCTACTGACTTTGATGAAAAGGGTAAGCCTACCAAGAGTCACTGAACTGAGTAAATCCTTCTACTACATAAAATTATAATTCCTTGGGCAAACTCTATTCCTCTTCTTCAGATCTGACTTTATAAACAGTTACCTGTGCTATCTTGCACAAAAACCTCCTGTATAGTTCAGTCCTTTTCTTCAAACTGAGTAGTCTACTCGTGTACTAAACTTTCACTCTACTAAACTTTCCCCTTATTTGATTTTATATTCCATCTCCTTTGTCTTCATCTCTCTCTCTCATACTGGTGTTTTCCCCATTTCCTACCTTTTCTGTAAATTTGATCCAGTATTTGCCATACTCAGTGTTGACCGTGGACTTATTATTTATCTCAATATTAAATTACATGTTCAGCTGGATCAAACTTTGACTTATTGTCTCATTATCTTTCCATCTGGCTGGCTTGATTTCTGTTACGGGATAGTGTAATTTTTAGTTAAAGAACTCAACGTATGTAATTTGGATGACAGATGAGATTTAACATTGACAACATTCAACCTCTATTGAGGCAGCAGAATAATTGATAATTTTCTGAGTCTTAACCTTGGGTGGTGGTAGCGGCGGTGGTGAGGATGATTGTAGTGCTCTTTCACCTCAGGGAGCTCCAAGAGGAACCCCAAGTCAAAAACAGTAAAACTGAAAACCAGAAATCCCTTTCCTTCGTTTTATTCACCAAGAGGGCTGTAACATTTTTTAAAGGTTGGATTGAGGCTCTACTGCTGATGCTTTTATAACTGTGAAGCTGAACTACTATGATGTGCTTATTACTTCTGGCTATACAGGTCACCCAGGGACATAAGTATGTTTTAGGGCAATGGATTATACTTTATATTGTAAACAAACAATAAATGAAACTATATGGTGTAGTGGTTAAGGGGTTCATCTGGTAACAGGGAGATCCAGGTCCACTTTTGGCCATAAAAGCTTGCTGGGCAATGTTGGCTCAATCACTTTTCTGTAAGCTCAACTTACCTCATAGGGTTGCTGCAAAGGGAAAAATAATGGGAGGAGGGAAGATTATGCATGCAGCCTTGAGCTCTTGAACAAAAGGTAGGATATAAATGTAATAAATAAAGAAGATGACAAAGATTATTGATGGCATACAAGATATAGAGAAATATCTTTCTGATTGCTACAGTGCTCTTACTTGTTATCTCCATGCTTCACCTTCCTACCCACCATGTTATGAATAACTGAGAACTTTTTCTATTATATTTTTTATTCCCTTGGTTGAGTTAGGCTATTCTGAGAATGATCAGAATGTCTATTAGTTAACCAGTATCAAATCTGACTGAAGTATAGGAGACCAACTGTTCCTTAAACATCTGTTTCAATATCCAGAATATAAACTGCATAGCAAGCTAACCCCGCTGGGGGAGATGGGAAGCATACAAATTAAATAAATAAATAAATAAATAAATAAATAAATAAATAAATAAATAAATAAGCAGCCAACCAACCAACCAACCAACCACTTGGGCTTTTAATTTTTTAAAAATAAAATCTGCTCCACAGAAATATTGAATATACTGTAATAGCATTAAAAAATTGACATTGGCAATTAGCTTTGCTAAGAGTTTCATTCTTCCTGATCACTGTTTTTTTAGTATATTACAAGAATAATTTGTTTTTAGTTTTCTCTCTTTTGTTCTGAAAGTACAGAAGTTCTTTATTTATATGCACTTTGTTTAATCCTGCAAACTTTATCAATGCTCTGAAGCCAATTCCATTCTAGGAGTGTTTGATTTCCATAATCCCTGCCGTGCAGACATTTAAATTTTACGTCAATTGTTTCAGGTTTCCTTGAAACACAAGAGATCTGGAAATCATTTTTTTTTTAAAGGAAACAAAAGGAATACAAAGTGGACTTATTTGATCAGGGTTAAATATATAAGGTATGATTTTGGGTTGCTATTACTGGATTTTTTTTCTTTTTAATCAGGATTTAAATATTTCTTTATATGGGAATAAATTTTCTATATTCTATTATAATTTGGAATGTAAAAGGGTCTTATTTGATCAAGGTTAAAATACATATGTTACTATTATTAGTACTCTTAATGCTTTTGCTGACTAGGATGGAATGATGATTTTTTAATAATTTGGTTATTGCTAAGAGATGAGAAATAGAAAGAAGTGTTTTTTTCTTCTTTTTTTAGTACTACTATAGAAGGTGTTAAGTTACTGAAATTGTTTGGAATAAGGGGGGAGCCATTCTCTGACCCTATGCTCTTCATTTTTTAATATCTTTTTTAGTTGGTATTAGTTTTTCATCTATCTAAAACTTTAATAAAATATTATTAAAAAAAAAGAAACAGAAGAGATCTATTCTCTTACACTGAAAGAGCAGCGACATTAAAGAACATAACATTCGTGCTTGTTACTGACTATTTCTGGGCCATCACTGTAAATTTTCCCAGTGGCACAAGTAGGAAGGTGTGGCTGCACAGAAGAAAAAGTTAGAAAAAAGAAATACTGGGAGTCTGTAATCTTAAATTTGAAAGAAATATACATGAAAGTCAATAGGATCTGTTTTTAAATGTGCAAATCAGCTTTAATAGGCAAAGGCTAATCCATACACGTTTACTCAGTGAATTTCTAATTAGGTCATTACACCATAATTAGGTCATACAGATATGATTTTCACTATGATCCCATTTTTCAGCTCCAACCTTATTTTTTTCCTGTAGAATGAGTTCATATTTTCCACAATCATGTATTTAGGTAAATCAAGTGATATACATGTACATGTAAACCCAAGATTAACTACAAAGTGATGTGGATGCATATATGAACAAGTCTTTTATAATATTTCCTAAATATTATATAGTTTTCAGAAGGTTCTTGACTCTGGGAATATTCTGAAATCAAATCATGAAGCTTACTGGCTGACATGATGCGACCTCTGTCAAACCAACATGCCTCACAAGAATATTGGAAAACAATTTAGTAATAATAGAAAATATCCCCTCCACAAGTATCTATTTCTACTGTAATGTCTTATTGCCACCTCAAACGTACCACTCTAGTCTTCCTAATTTTAAAATCAGGTCACTCATCCATTTAAAACACAGTTGTCCAAGCAATAAGGCAGAGAAAACCGTTATTAAATCTACTATATAGTTCCTTGAAGCAATTAATAAAGAACAATACAAAAATGTTGCAGTGTCAGCATTTATAACTACTGCTTTAGCATCTTACCCTTGTCCAGGGAAACCTGATTTGTGTTACAGATATTTTCTATATTTTCTTGATCTAAAGCCATATCAAGAGGTGATGGAGATTGTTCAGACTTTATATTATCTTGTACTGGTTCTGTTCTCTTTTCCAAACTTGGCATTTGGTATGATCTTTTTGTTCTATTGCTTGATTTTGTTACCTTAAAAAAAAGAGATATTTTCTCAAATTATATCAATTCAGTATAAAATACATTAAGAAAAAAATAAAAGTTAGGGGGAAAAAAACCCTTAATTTTTCCCCCAGAATTGGAAGATTAATTAAAATGGCTAAATTTGAACCCTGGCAGCTGAGTGCTATTTTATCTACATATAAGCTTGTATTACTGGGCTTTAGTAAGTATTTTTTCCAAAATAAATTGTACCACTCTTATATAATTTAAGAAATGAACAGCTAGAGAAAGGAGAAAATTAGGAAATCTAAAGTTATACTACAAATATGATGCTTCTTTATCACGTTTAGCAAAAAGAAGCAAAATGCAAGGTTTAGCAGGGCAGGGCAGCACTGGGCTGTTTTACTATACAGGCTACAAACTCAAGCCCCATGAGTTTAACTTTAACACAATGTTTTCTGCAGTAAGGTTTAAATTTTTACATTTCGGGCTGGTGAAGAAGCTCCTTTTTGTCTGAACAAGAACTTATGTTTCTACTCTACCAAAAGCAATTGTTTGTTAGGCTAGGAAGAACATGGTGAATTGGAAGATGTGATATCTGGGGTAAGAGAACTCCAGCTTCTCCCCACCTGGTGACATTTTGCAAAGGGAAAATAACAATCTCAACTTCACTGGAATTGCTGGGCTATCGGAGTTTAAAGCATTTTCCAGTAACTTTCTATGAAATAGTATCACAGGGCGGGGAGGGGGGAGTAGGAAATCGAAAGCTTCCTCCCCCAGCAATCCTGATCAAAATCACAGTTTTGCCTTAATGACAACTGATGTGCTCAACCAAGAGAACTGTGAGAAGTCAGGTGGCTACACAACAAACTACAATGCAATTATAGCTTCTCAGGACACAATATGTAAAACAGTCAGCTGAGAGCATCTATACTGGAGATGACCAATCCAATAAAAAAGATTCTATTTGCAACCATGGGACAGTTTCAATCCATTTTCCCAATCTGTCTCACCTTTATCTTGGACTAGATACTTGAAGTGTGGTGAACTAGATATGACTGACTGACTACTGACCGACTGACAAGTGATTAAAGTTTGTTCATGCTCCAGATTATGTATCAGTTGACTTAATGGTACATATTTATATACTACACATATACACACACACAGGATATGCATTTTTCTGACTTGGAATAATAAAATAGTGCCGTGTAATATTTGGGTATTGGTTTGATATGCCTCTCCATTAATCCCATGGAACAGATTCTTTAAAAGTTGTGTACCTCTTCCTTGGTTCTGTAACAGAATTCTACTGCAGAGTCCTTGGGGTTCTCTGAGCTTGTTGTTTTCTTGCAAACATTTTGTTACCTGGCTCTTAGCACTGATGATGTTACCTAGCCGGGTAACGAAATGTTTGCAAGAAAACAACCAAGCTCAGAGAACCCCAAGGACTGCACAGTTCAATCCTGAGCTGCACATATTCTCTTCTATTGGTAGAACTGTAGTGTTTTGGGATAAAATCCCTTGCTAGCATTATTCAATGTAACTGAAAATGGCATTCCTAATATTAAGATTTAATACAGCTATTCATGACTATGAATTTCTTGACTGAGGCCTAATCTGTGTGTCTAAACAGTGGAAAATCTCTAATTTCCATCTACTAGAAAATGTTAAAATGTTTACATCACATTGAAATCGATAACCAACAAAAGTGATACACAGATGCCCTGTCATACAGCTAGCAAAAAATGTAGCAGACCTCTGATCATGTTTCAATATTTATTAGGACAAACACTATAGGCATATGCTATTGGACAGAACATTGCTTTTATTAGTATAAATAACGTGGTAAGGTCTGTATTTTAAATACAATAATTTTCAATAAAAGGTATAAAGTGAGTGTCTGTATATACACATATATGCAAACACATTTTTGCTTACAGCTTAGCATCATTAACACCTCATCAATACCTTCAAATTATCACTATTTTTCCAAGTGTTGATGGATCTTAATGGAAGCTTTACTTTACATGCACATGTTGTAATCTCTCTGTTGCACTTTCGCATGGGTTATGTTGTGAGAAACTGGAACTGTGCATTTAGAATTTGGCCAGAAAAAAACTGAAGGTTTGAATTCTTTTTCATTTTACTGCTGCCAAAAGTGCCAACTGATGAGATATGCATGGGAGGCTGGAGGGTGGAGATAGGAGCAAGAATATTCATCTACAATGAGCCAAATGCTTCTTACATAATGAATTCTCACTGTGAAAATTTGACAAGGTAATAGAATGTCATGAAGGCAATCCAGGGCAAGGGCAGGAGGCAGAACCGTCACTGAAGATTAGCTTTGTGATGTCACCTGAAAGTAAAATCTGATTAACTTATAGCCCTGTGACATCACTATCTTGTTTATATTACAACTGACTTAATACATGGATAGAAAAAGATATTATAAGGCAGTTGTCAAGAGGTCAGTGAAAAGAAGTAAGATATGTAAGTATATGGGGGCTGGAGACTGGGCATCTTCACTGTCACATTAAAAATGTTCCCTAGTGGAAATTAAGTTTAGTATTATTCAGATGTGAGGTATTGATAAATTTAGGTAAATATTATTAAAATTATCAGTCTGTTACAGCAAAAGCGCCAAGGAATGTTGCAGCACCTTGAAGAGCTAAAGATACATCTGTGGACTAAAGGTTTATGCCCATAGTAGCTCTTAAGGCTCTTCATCGTTAAAATAAAATGTTGATAGAAGGAATGATTAAATACTGAAGAAACTGAAAAAGGTTAGGCTTTTTTTAATATATAGTTTTATTAAAAGTTTTAAAAAGAAAGATAAAAACTAATACAAACTAATATAAAGTAAGAAGGAAAAAAGAAAAAGAAAGAATCAAACAGAAGCCTAAAAGTGCAAGAAAGGAAAAGAAAAAGTAAAAGAATGATTAAATACTGAAGAAATTGAAAAGGGTTAGGCTTAATAGCTCTTGCAATCGGGGAATTCTTCCTTATTTTGAGTTTGATAACATTTCCAGTCACTGCTTGTTGTCCTAGCCTAGACGCTGTGGAGAATAAATCCATACCCTCTTCCCTGTGACAGCCCTTCAAGTATTTTATTTTATTATTTTATTTTTATAGCCACCCACCTCCCATTAGTGACTTTAGGTGGCTTACAACCTAATAAAAACATAAACAGCCAAGGAGCCAAACCAATCCAGACAAATAACAACACATAATGAGCTCTAACTAACATGCCAATCCCCATGCCTGGGAACATATCCACATTTCAGGAGTCTTCTGTAGGGTTGGCAGGGTCAGGGCCAATGTAATCTTGGGGGGGATGGTGTTCCAAAGGGCAGGTGCAGCAACAGAAAAGGCCTGCTTCCTGGGTCTTGTAAGATGACGTTCTTTGACTGACAGGACCCATAGCATGCCTCTCCTGCTGGATCTAACGGGACGAGAAGAAACAGCTGGGGAGAGGCGGTGTGATGGTATATGGGAATGACTTTGGGAGACAGGAGGAAGACCTGCAGCCTAGACAATGGTCTGATAAGAGGCAGCTCAGTCCGGAGCTGGGGGGAAACCATGGAAAGTGTTTCAGAAGGGACCCTCCCTAGTTTTTTGGAGACTAACAGAAGTGAGAGGGCTATGGGAAGAAAACCTCTTCCATTCCTACCATTAATTCCCTATGTATTCTGAAAATGCTAGGTTTTTTGTCCCATTTTGGGCCATTTTTTAGATTTAGGAAGGCAACTGAGGGTTGGAATGGGAAGGATTTGTCTTTCGTAGGGCTTTCTGGTCCTATTCCAGTCCTATTCCAGTCCAGTCCAAAAAACATATGCCACCAAACCATAGTTATTTTGCTGGTAAGTTCTGGCAGTGTGATCTTGAGGTACTGGGCTGGTACTGGACTGTCCAAGGGATGCTAATTCTGCATAAACCCTCACTTACTCTATTACTATTTGACAAGGTCAAGATTTCTTTGCCTCTTAAACTGTTTTCAGCACAGCCATGTCTGTTTCCATGTTAGAGGTTCCAGATTTGTTCTTAAGAAGAATGTATCTTACCTCCCCAGATGCCCTTGCAGTGAACCTTCGGCCTGAGGGAGGAGGTGGCCCAAGGACTTTAGATCCAAATGCAATGTGGGATATGTCTTGACTCTTACTGTTGCGTATAGTGGCTGATACTCGGTTTGTTGGAGGATCTATTAAATAGCAAAACAGATAATTAAAAGTTTGATAGTTTGAACAATTGTGCATAAACAGTGGTTAATGTATTTTTAACAGGTCAAAGCACAAGTATTACCACAAACATTCATTCCAGCAAAACATGAAATGCAAAAACAAAACATGCCGATGATCAATCACCGAACTATTTTATGTGGAATATTAACGTGCAGCATTGATTGTAAGATGGATGGCCATACAAATTTGCATAATAAATATATAAGAGGCTATTCTGCAATCATTCTCATGTAGTTTATAAAGCTTTGGCAGCAATCCTTACAAGATAGGTGATGTCACCTCAATATAATGGCAAAGAAACTATTGATAAGTTCATCAGCCAGCAATTTGTATGCTAAGTAGAAAAAGTGGCCCTGCCTAATGAATATGTATCTCTCTGGCCTGCTATACGTTTTGTGCTATTATGAAGATATTTCTCTGGTAATTCCCCTCCTTATTGCACAAACAAATAAAAGAATAGATATTAAAATCTGCACCGACTACCAGTTCTGAGACCCACTGTATTTGAAGGAACAAAAATGTTCAGCTAGAATGTGATTTTATTTAATTAACTGATTTGGAGCTGAAGTAATAGACAAGATCTTTCTGTAATGCTGGAAACAGAGAACTTTACAGTAGCATATATTTAAACCTGTCTCAATTTCACTGCTGAACAAACATCCTTATATTTTTTCAGTTATTACATTTACAATTTGACAGTATTAGTTTCTGAATCATTCATTTTCCATTTTTTCTAAAAAAAACCCCAACCCTATATGATTTATTCTTAGTTAAATAAGATTTTTAAAGATTGTACTTGTCATATTATACCTTTATACTGTAATGAGAATCACTTCCTATTTAGTCAAAGCCACCTACCTAGTATTTTCTTTAAAATAAAAGGGAATTGCAAGCTGTAATGCAAAGAGTTCTTTTTCATTGTAAGTCCCCATAATATGGCAATCCATTCCAGTGCTTCCCACTGGCCTACAACTGGCCAGCATTCCCTGGACATTAGGCAGTTTTTCACTTTTGACACTTCTTTCAAAGGAGATTTTCAGAGAAATTCTCAAGGGTGAAGTGTAATATTCTTGCACGTATTTAATTACAAGGCAGCCAAAGGCTGTATATGAATGTGCCTTCTTTCACCACATATTTATGTATTTGATTCATATGCCACTTTTCTGCCCAGGAGCTAAGTACAATAATTTTTCTAATGGTCTACAGCCTTTCTACTTCCTGTTTCAATTTAATCCCAAGGAAAGACTTCAGGAACAGTTTCCATTTTCAGACTGGGACATGGCAGCCAGAAAGGCTTCAGAATAATCAGCAATAGCCAGCTCCATCATCTTCAGTGATTACGTTCAAAGAGAAATTTAAAAGAAATTACAAACTCCCTGAAAATAAGAGAAAAATAGAAGCATCTTTCACTGGAAAAGGAAATTTGTGAGAAACTGAAAACCAGGTTTTGGCACAATATTTTTTCTACCAACCCTGCTGGTATTCTTTATTGTGCGTAAATAGTGCCATTGTGATCATGTAAGAACCAGCAACTAGAACTAGAGAACCACAATGTTACAGCAGCACAGACTTGGAAGAGTTTTTGCTGCAATCAACCACATTTGGTTCAGAATCATTTGTACCTAGTGAAAATGAAACATATTAACCAAACAAAATTAGGAATTTCAAAAAATAAAAAGAGCAATGGAATACTACCCTCAAGCGCGATCAATTTTTTTTTTTAATTTTCTGTTCTCTGCCCCAATATCCATTAGGAAAAAAACAGGATTAAAAAAAAATTCTTTATCATACTGATAGCAATTAATTGGAAATACCAATATACACAAGTCTTTCCTAACATTGAACAAGTAGGTTTAGATAAAAACTGAGGGGGAAAAAAAGGCAATTTGGGCTTTTGAGTTTGACTGGAATTACAGCATTAAAATAAAATGGAAAAGATGAAAGATGGAATTTCAAATTAAATTGAAGCTTAAAATGATCAAAGTACTCATTTCTAGGAAGGTCTGGTTTGGGGACTTTGAAAGGGAGAGAATGGCATAAGAATTCATCTCCTATTCATACTGCTAGATTAAAAATAAAGATTAAACTCTAAAGCTCAAGGCATTCATTTTCTTGAGTTAACAAGAAAAAAAAAAGGCATAGCTCAGGGATATAGCCACTAATTATTTTACTACTTTACCAACCAAACCTAAAGTTGTGCTACTTTAATTGCCTTTAAAAATGGATTTTGTTTTCTTTTAACATTCTCATTATTTTAACTATTTTCCACTTTCAGTTTCATGGAATTAGTGCATGAAATATTACTTCTGCAATATAATTGTATATCTATAGCTTATTAAATTATATTTCTACATAATTGAAATATACGTTTGGGGAAAGTTCAAGCTGTGTCCCTGGTTGCCTCCATGCTGATACAACCCCTTTGCACAACTCCCAAAGCCAACAGCACGTGCAGGACGGCGCCCAGCACAGTACTTCTTGTTGAGTAAGACCAAGGGGTGAGGGGAGAATGGTCTATGAATATCTACAAGGCTATCAGAGGGGATAGGCCTGTCTCGAAGCCAAGAGCAGGACAAGGATCAATGTATTAAAATGAAAAGAAGGGAGACTCAGGATGATGCACACATGCGTGCGCACACACACGCACACACACACTCCAATCACTATTCTTCCAGGGTAAACACGATTATGGATAGCACACAAAAAGAGCAAGAAATGGTACAGCCAAGTATTTAAAGGCATGACATGAAAAAAAGCAAAGGAGTTATGATTAAATTTAGTTTGCATCCACACCATTCAGGCATCTCCATTGCTTTCTATCCTTGCAAACCATCCTTGCTTCCATCACAACTTCATATGTTTTCTTTTGCTCTTTAAATTTCTCACTGCTCTCTTTCTGAATACCTCATCAACCCACACTTCAATGGTCTTTCCTTTCCTCTCAAAGCACTCACTCTTCTTTCACATATTCATAAGTTTGTAGTTTGATCCTCACTCATTTTTGCTTTATGGCCAAATCACATGATTTTCTTTTGTATTCAGTTCACATTTGTTCAATGCTCATTCATTCTTAACCTTTCTCTTCTTCTTTTATCACACATTCTTCTTATGTATCCCTTTCCCCCTGTGTTCAGTTTACTTTTATCGTTCTCCTGATGTACTCAGTTCGCTCTTCCATATAACACATGGGTGGAAGCACTCTTATATACAACCATTTTTATTTTTTTTTACATTCGTTTCCCATAACAGACCATATATCCTCCAGTATGCCATCATTTGCACATTTTAAAATTTCTTCATTTTTCCATCATTGATAAGCATTCTATCAAGGTATTCAGATTTATCTAATTGTTCCAGGGTTGTTGGGGTTTTTTTGCCAAGTATGCATGCCAAGTTTGTAATCGTTCTCTCCTTTTTTTCCCTGCCTTGGTCTTTGATGCACTGATTTCCAGACCCATACGCCTCAAGGCATCATGCATTCATTGCAAATAATTTGGCTTTGCAGCCAGCAACATGGCTTCATTTGCTTTCCAAAGTACATGTATACTCACACCTCTAACAATACTACAAGTACACATAGAACATGCAATAGCACAGACCCATGCCCCATTTGGGTGATGTGATTTGAGGGATTTTTTTCAGGGGCACTTTCTTAGTATACTAAGGACCACAAGAGAGGCCCTTAATGGGCCTGTGTAACCTGAATTTAAAGCAAATTAAAGCCAGACTGGAAATTAGATATATCTGAGTGACCAGGCTTTACTGCAGAAAGCACTTTCTATGGTATTTATTTTGCCACTATTCTGCATGCAAGTGTCTCATGTTTCTTCAGAACAGATAAACTCAGCATTTCTAACAGGTGAGGAAGCTTCAGAAATCTCTTATTGTGTGGACAAGCACCATGAATGAACTGGGGAAACAGGGAAATGATTTGCAGTAAATGGACAATGGAGATGGAAGTTTATAAAAAAAAATCTCAAGAAACTTAAAGCAGAAATGGACTGAGATGTATTTTTGGAGATCAAATCAATACAACCATATTGTATTTTGCATAGTGAGGCAATGTAATTTCCACATAAATGCACCTGCCTATCCTTAATAACAGTAGTAGAAACTAGAGGTGCTGCTCCTGTGGAAACAAAAGCATTTGGTCAAAGACTGCTAGTTTTTAAGTAAATTACCAGTTTTGATTTGTGCTTAGTGGACAACAGCATATTGCTATTAGCAAGGTGAGCTGTTCAATTTAAGCAACCGGGCTTGATTCTGTGTTCAATTAAACCATGGTCCCATTAATGGAGAGGGGAAAAAAGCTTCCTACATTCCTACATTGACTAACAGTCAGGACTTAATCTGGCCTGGGAATTGAAGGAATTAATAGTGTAAAGTGTTAGTCAATTTACACATATAATGATTAAGTGGATACATGTGGGCTTTATTAATTTTGTTGAAAGCATTCAGAACAATGAATTCTCTCTGGTAGAACAAAATTATATTTGTAATTCAGGGAAATTAGTTGTGAGCAACGAATTAGGAACTTTCAGTCTAGAAAGAAGAAACAAAAATGTATTGAGGTGGAAGGCTTACCATGGCCACAATCTATGGCTGCATGGTGGACAAAGTATACCCTTGTCCTTTGGTTTATCCTTAGAAATGTGATGTATAAATAAATACATACATAAATAACAATGGCATTGAAAATAGGCAGGATATGTGGGAAAATATACAGTGGTCCTTAAAAGTTTGCGAACCCTTTTGAATTTTCAATATTTCTGTATAAACATGACCCAAAACATGACAGATCATAGACCATGTTTTAGGTTATATTTATGCAGAGATATTGAAAGTTCACCCCCATTGCTGCCACCACCGCTGAGGAGTGCCGCTGTGCAGGATGGCCAAAACACCAGAAATGAGGGGGAGGTAGGTGGGTGGGTGGAGCTCAAGAGGAGGCAGCCCCTTACCTTACTGAGGCTCAGGGATGGGAGGGACCAAGCCAGGAATGGCTTGGATCAGGTGGGCCCTCATCTAATAACCGGTGGGATTTGGTTAACAATGACAACGGGGAGTGCCGGGATTGCTGTTGCTAAGCAATGCGGTCACGTGACATTGCCCTTTATGACTGCATTGCTTAGTGATGGAAATTTCAGTCCCAATTACTTTCGTTAACCAAGGACTACCTGTAATCATGTTTTACCTATTATTAAGGCAATGAGGACTGATTAGATGAGCTAGGTGGCAGCATCTAACCAATTTTGGGTGATTTCAGAAAAGGTAGGCAGGATTGGACCTCATTATACAGGAGACCACAAGGAAATCTCAGAACTGTATATTAGACTTTTTTTGTGTGTGTCTTTGTCAGTGTTGACTCCTAGCGAATGCCTGGATGAGTTCCTGCAGTCTTCTTGGCAAGATTTTCAGAAGTGGTTTGCCCTTGCCTTGTTCCTAGGGCTGAGAGAGAGGGACTGGCCTAAGGTCACCCAGCTGCCTTTCATGCCTAAGGTGGGACTAGAAGTCACCGTCTCCCAGTTCCTAGCCTGGTGCTTTAACCACTACACCAAACTGGCTCTCTCTCTATTAGACTGGGATATTGAAAACAACCTGGAAGAAGGAGACACAAACCACGTTCATAACATTGCAAAAAAACTACATGGTCACCAGGAGCCATGCTTGATTTAAGGGGGTATTTTTTAAAAAAATAGTGATTTACTTTGATTGTGATATTATATAAACATTCACATTTGCATAATTTCATAATAAAGCACATCCACTTAAAGCACATTTAAACTGAATCACCCGCATAACTTTATCTCAGATTTAAAAATGTTAATAGTGGTATTAATTGTTTTCAAGGAATTCATGTCAATGTACCTGTAATCACCTTTATGCCATACATCATTTGTTCTTGAATTTTAAAATAAATGGCACTGAAATTCCTAGAAATACTCTGAATTTTTATTCAAACACACAATTAAATGTCTTACAAAATTAAAGTTGAATGGGTTATCATATAGAGGATGAAATACAAATAAAGAAGATAATTACACCATTAACTGCTAATCTAAAATTAAATGAACTCTATTACTACTTTCCCCAGAGAACCTACAGAAGTAGGTTCATAATATTCTAAATTAAATTATTCACTTTTTTAATTTTGTTGCAATTCATATTAATATTTTGGTCATTATATGGTTTCACAGAGTAAAGATTATTTTTTTTTGGAACAAGATAGCTTGAAGGAAAATCACACATTTTTTTCAAATTTTGTTTTGTTTTAAAGAAAGCAAAATTTAATATGGAGCTTAGAATTACTCAGTTTTCCAAAGGGTACATTCAAAAAGAAACACAGTTCTAATAACTTCATGCTTTGCTGGTCCTCTGTTTCCAAATCAGTCCAACAGCAGTTCTCCATCCAGAATCCCCCAATGCCAAAAAAGAACTGATGCATCCCAGCAGCATTCCACATTGCCATCCCTGACCACGCCCCATATAAGATTATTTATATAGAGGGACATCTTTGCAATAGCCTTACACTTATAGATTAGCCAAATCTTGTAGCAGAACTGTAAGAACATCCTTTATGAAACAATTTTATTGGTAGGTAATTGGCTTTGATCCCACTTCCTATTTGTCTCTTTCTCAAAAGCAGTTCCAAACTTTTCATTACACCATGCCATATCCAAGAAATGGATCTTAAATTCAGACTAAGAGATGACAAAGTGGGATCCTGCAAGTGATAATGATCCTGATAATTTGGGAGCCAGATAAAGGGACAATTCCAGATCCCTAGTATCCCTATTCGACCTATTAGTGAAGCTGACAAAATGAAAAGGTTTACATGTAGTTCTCATTTAGTGACTGCCTCAGATAGAGACCATTCGCAAATACTATGGTAATAAATGGTAACAAAAAATTCATTTTCTGACCAATGAGGGCATTTATGACAACAAAAGTGTTCAGTGTGAAACTGATTAATGTCTGGTCAGTTTCAGGCAGCAGCTGCCAGCCAGCCCAAGGGTTCTAATCAACTAATGAAGGTCACAGAGCTGAGCTTATTAACCTGCGGTAGGACTGCACTCCAGAGAAAAGCAACTCAGGAAGAGATTGCTTGTTTAGGCAATCACTCCACCTTATGAGGGGACAAAAAAAGGGAAAAAATGGGTCAGGCATAGGACACTGTATGAGAAAACTTTATCTGAAACCAGTGATCTTTATAGAATCTCTCTCTCTTTCAGTCACATGTTCATTTAGCGACCCATTTTGCTAAAGACTGAATTAGCAGAATCAATTGCAGTCACAAAATGAGGACTACCTATACTAGTTTCTATAATCCCACTCATTTCTCATATATATGAATGGCTGTCATTCACTTCCAGGGAGAAAGACAAAGTGGCCCACTTGGAAACAACATTCTACAAAAGTGATAATGTATTAAGTCCACTCATCCACTCCCACATTTAGAGAGGAATATAGACCATTTAGAAAAAATAATCTTTGGGCTGTTTACAAAAGTTATTTATTTAGATTTACTTTATTTATGCTTATCTTTTAGTGAGCATTCAAACCAACTATACATTTTTAAAAATTAGACGATAATAGTCAAAACTACTAATAAAAATAGCAATAAATGCCACAGACTCTGAGACCAGACAATATGCATCTCCCTTGAAGAGAATGGTTGGGCTTACACACTGCACTTGCTTGCTGGATAAGTCACAGTATCTGGGTTTGTACAAAAGCTAAGCCAAAACAAATGTGGCATGTTATGGCTTAATGCCATGTGTGGATACAGGCAATGTCACTTGAAGAAAAGTCCTTGGCCTGAAAGTCTAGATAGAAAAGAAATATTAATCATAAAGGGTACCTAATTCTGGTGAAGTTAAAGATCGGCCTCTACATTTTTGTTCTGTTTGGCGCAGCTTATTCATGTTCAGCAGTTGTGTGACTTGTGGCACATCTGCATTTAACTGACAGGCTCGAGGAATCGTATCTGTTGGCCCATCAGCTGTAATAGAAGATCAGCACAATCTGAGTAAACTACAGCAAAGACTTCACCTTCTCATTCTGACCATCTGAACAAAGAACCAAAACTAATGACAGCAGAAGTGTACATTGGAGATACTTACCAGAACTCTGTTTTCCAAAATGTATTCTGGGAAATCAAGCATTCACATTTTAAAAGCTTCTAGTTCCTGTAGCTGTATACTGAAAAAAACGTTGCAGCAGGCTCAGGAATCAGAAAGCAAAGAAAAGAAGTCCATACATCTGTTCAATTTCAGTATCTTTCAATTTTAATTTGATGCCATGATTTCTTCTGGGCTAGCCTCATTATTTATAGATTAGAAATTAGCAGCACCAGACATTCTCATTACTTTACCTGAACAGAAGGATTTAGTTATTAAGTGATGTGCCGCAGCTCCCAACATCAAAAAGCATACTGAGACCATTATACCTCAACCTTAATCCTTTCTTGCCAATAAAAACATTTTGATATTAATATTTTTTAAATCAATGAGATTCATGTGAAGTACCTGATGCAATAAATAAGTTATGGGATGACATGGGCGGGGATGAGGGTGAGAGGTAAGTTTCAGGCTACAGGGAACTAAATCGTGTAAATAAATATATACAGAGAACAGAATGAGATTTAGTTGTAAGGAGATCCTGCTTTAAAACATGTCCAATCTAGCTAACTGTGGGTAAGCAATCAAGATGAAACTGCTGGGAGAGGAGACGAGCCATAGCAGCATCTTTCTGGCCATTTTGAGGATTATCCTTGCTATATGGCAGATAAACTGTGATGGAAGGAGATCACTGGAGTGCTCTGCGATAGGCGTTACGCCAATTCACCTAAAATTGAAAGTGTATAAAACGATGGTCTGCCCAGTAGCACTGTATGGTGCTGGGTGCTGGCCACCACCAGAAGTGCTGAGCAACCTTTATATGCCATGGAGATGTGCATGCTCTGTTGGTTGTTAGATGCTTCCCTTCTCAACCACGTCAGCAATGATACAGTCAGGCAGCAGATGGTGTTGCACCATTAACAGAGAAAATATGGGAAAAATGCCTACAGTGGTACGACCATGTTCTCTAAGCAGCATCCCACACTGTTGCCTGCACTGCCTACCACTTTAAATTGATGGCAAATACACGTGCAGAGGACCAAAGCAAAGGTGGCAGGACACCATTAATGCAGACATGAAAATCATCCAGTTGGACTTGGCTGCTGTGTTCGATCGCATGAAATGGCATTCGTTGATCTGAAAAGCGGACCCTGCACCTGCAGGAAAACACTAGGATGATGAAGAACAAGAAGATATGGCAGATAAAGTGCAAAGATTCTCTTGGAGTTGGAGTCCAATTTGACAGGTCCAGTGGGGATGGCCGGAGCAGAATCTTACAGGGTTATTCGGAGCAAGTTTGCAGCTGTGACTCACAAGAAAGTGGACCAGGTTCTCCAATTATGAGTTCAGCTACCTGTTTGTTAGATCAAGGACATCCAATAGGTGACTTGTTGTTACGTCCTTTAAGTGGAATTTGCTTCTTTGAAGGAGGGGCTTGTCCCCTCAGCCTTGAAGGAGGCTGTGGCCAGCATTCAGTGGTGCTGGAACCAACTGGAACCACTGGAACCAATGATTTTGGATTTGGGGCTGGGTTATAGTACAGAGCCAGTATTGGTCACACTCACTGATGACCTTTGGCAGAGATGGGATGGGAGTAGTGCATCTTTCCTTGTGCTCCTCGATCTCTTAGTGGCTTTCGGTATCGTCAATCCCGCTATCGTTCTGTGAAGTTTGGGGGGGGGAGGCACCATTTTGGCTGGGTTCAGTTGGTATTAATGGGAGGGGGGAATCAAGTCCAAGGTCCCTTACTTGTAGGGAACCACAGGGCTCACTGCTTTCGTCTATTATGTTTAACATCTATATGAAACTGTTGGGTGATGTCATCTGTCAGTTTGAGGTCAGGCATCATCATATGTTGAGGTCCTGTCTCAATGTCTGGATGTTGTGCAGGTCTGGAGAGGGAGAAACAGACTCGGGGCCAACCCTGGAAAGACTGGGTAGTTCATGATATTTGGCCCCTTGATTCTGGGGTCTTCCATCTTTGGCCTCGGCTGGGATTGCACTTCCTCATTCAAGACTGGTGTGCAATTTGGGAGTTGTTACAATTCCTGCTTGAAGAGCAGGCGGCAGTTGTGGCCAAGAGGGCCTTTGCACAGATACAATTAGTGCACCTATTGCACCCTTTCCTGGACTGGGAGGCCTTTCAGGCAATCACTCACATCTTAGTCACCTCACAAATGGATAATGAGCTCTACATAGGGCTGCCCTTGAAGACCACTCAAAAGCTACAGCTGGTCCAGAATACTGTGGCGCAGACAGTGATATATCACCTTTCTGCTCCACAAACTGCATTGGTTACCAGTTGGCTTCCAGGTGCAATTCAAGGTACTGGTTATCACCTATAAAACTCTTCATGGCACAGGGCCTGGTTATTTGAGAGAATATTGGTTTCCAGTTGTTTCTGCCTGCCCGGTGAGATCAGGCAAAGTAGGTGCGTTTTGGGTCCCATTGATCAAACAGGGTCATCTTGCAGGACCCAGGCAATGTGCCTCCTTTGCTGTGGCACTGGAGAACTCCCATCCAATGTTGTTCAGGAAGCTATTAAGGACTTCGTTATTCTCCCAAACTTTGCGGCAGAGTGAAGGCTGAGCGCCTGCTGGATTTTTTTTTAATAGCATCTTTTCATGGGGGCTGCTCATGATTTCTTTTTTGTTTTTTGTAATTTTTTCTTCACTTTTTAATTGAAAGCCACCCAGAGTCATTGGGAATCAGACAGCCTATAATTTGTATAAATACATATATACATGTTATCTACTATTGTTAAGAAAGTGTATGGAGTATAAAAAAGGGGAACTTATTTTAAAAAAGAGGAGTAAGTGATACCTAGATAAACACATTTGATGAAATCCAAATGGACTTGATACTGACAATTGATATATAAAATATTTTTAGGGTTGAGGAACACCACCCGGCTTTTGAGTAGAGTGACAGGACTTTCATTCCAGAAAGTAAGTTTGATCAGAACAAGAAGTGGATGAATCAAGGAGAAAACTAAATTTGATTTACTTTAAAGTAAGTTTACATTAAGTAAGGCTATGCAAAACTTCAAATTCAAGGCAATTTGATCAAACCACCCCTTCAATTTGAAACTCTGAATTCATTCAGTACATCAAATCAAGTCAGACCCTTCTGAATCCATTTTAAAATTAAATGGACTTTTACACCTGCAAAAACACAAGTCAAACAAATTATTTGAACTGATGGTTTAAACTGAAAATTCAAATAAATTCAACTCATTGAATTGCAAATTCAAATCTTATCTTGATTGATTCACATACTCTAAACATTGTTAATATGATTATACTGATACATTAAACTATTTTCCCTTTTTGACAGATTCAAAATTACAGTTCAACAACACATTTCAGAGGGCAATGCCCCTGGCTTTGGGAGGTTGCATCTGGCTATAAAGTCACATACTGTGTACTCTGGAACAGATAATTAATTTCTACCTTGTTAGAATGGTTGGTCAAGACAATGATCTTAATCTTTTCAGTTGTATAAATCTACAACTAGTCACCAGCTGTGTGTCCTTTTCAGAAAGCCTAATTGTAGATGCATGATTGCTCTTAGCCTACTCTTAAAATAATTTATGTGTGCAGATAAGAATTAATTAGATTTCAGGGGAGTTTTGCAATTAAAAACACTCAGCAATTAGCTGGTTTCACAATTTAGATTGTGCAGATTGTTCTGTGATCTCTAATGCAGTTACGCTATGCATGAAACTCCTCTTGTAAGTAACCTCAGTGAGGTCAATATATTTGAGTACCCAAATACTCAAATACTTTGGGCCAGTTTTCATCTGTTCTGTGCTGCTACTCTCCTGTTCTAACATCCTCGGCACTAAAGTTATATGACGTCTTTGTTCTTTGCTTACTGAATCTAACCTACACAATTAAACAGCACAATCTGCTTCCTCTGCAAAGAGTATTATTCTTTAAGCATATAGGGGCTTGTCCTGACCCTGTAAAACCAGTCTCCTAGGCATGCATGTTACTTGACAAGCCCAGAGAAATGCTGATTATCAGTAACGTAGAAGGATGTTACTGCAAAGTACAAAACTTGACTGGATCACGCTGTTGTACACAATCAGTTACAATATTAAGAAAAAACAAAGAGGACTCCCAAATGGAAAAACGGAGAGACTCTAGGAATACCTGAGGAGTCTGCCAATCATTCTGTATCAGAAAGCATATCAACGTCCTAGTTTAATAAGAAATGAAAAAGCTGAAACAAAACGTGAGGATACAGCTCAGCCTCCAGAGAAATATCCAAAGAGCTTTACAGAAAGAAATCGACTTATCCATCCGATTCCCAATTCTGTGTCTCACTCCAAAGGCTCAGCCTCACTGCTCTAATCCTGTTTAAAATGAATAGAAAGTTTTCAACTTCTGGGTGAAATAATTAGCCTCTACTGTTTCATAAATGAGACAAATTTCTGTTCACTGCTTTTGTAAAAATAACTAGGCACAATTATGCTTTCCTCTTCAATTCCTCTTCTGTATGAATGCTCAGGACATACCAGGCTGGCTTTCTCCACTAAAACTAAGACATGCCTCCCTAGTTAAGCATATGCTGAGGTAAAGCTACATGCCAATGACTTTATTTACATATTTCTCCTGCTTATCCACAGAAGGTCAGATAACATCGTCACCACTTTGTTTCCTGGCAAAAATGGGCATCTGTTCATTATCCTGGCCTGGTGAGGGGCGGGGCGGGATGAGTATCCAAAGGAAAATTGAGAGACTACCTTAGACAGCTGAAGAACTATTTCATAAAGTATCTCAGGTTATGGTGCTGGGAGCTATGAGGGAAACAGAACTCCTAAGGCGGTCACAGTCCTTACATCTCGGACTTGAGAAGAAATAATAAGAGCTGTCAA